CCGGAGCCGGGGAAGATGCTGAGGGTGGGCTGATGGGGGGACCCGGGACCCGGGGTGTGAGCGAACCTCCAGCCTGCCTGCCTCAGGGGCTGCTGCAGGTCCGAGCCTTCCCAGCCCCAGTCTGTTCTCCCTCCACTTTGCTCCAAGACAATAGTCCTGCCTGATACTGTGTGTTACAATTTCATTGATCTGACTACAGGTGCTCGACCAGTAGTCCAATCATACTGAGTTAGAAAGATGCTGGTCAAGGCCGGGCCCGTGTCTGTGGTGTGCAGCCAGTGGGAAACTGGCTGGAGTCCGTCAGTTATTGAAGATGGAACAATTGCTGGAAGGCATGGCTCACATTTCACCAGAAGGGAGGGCCTCTGTCCTCCATCCCAAGAATTCTACCTCTGTCCACATCCTGTCCCTGTTCTTTTTCCAGGCAGGGACTCAAGATGACAGTTTTGCTTTCCACTGGCTATTCTTGAGACTGCTCTAGCTGTGACCTTAGACTTTGAGGTTAGAGTCACTAGTCCCCTGGTTCTCCCCAGGCAGAGCTGGCTCAGGGCCCACCCCGAGCCAGGCGGGACCTGGGGACAGAGAGAAGGAGCTGGGGAAATCCTGGCCCTGCTGACCGTCCACCTTTCCTCCCCCTCCCACGGTTCTGTCCCTCCTACTGCCACCAGGCCCTGTGAGGGATCCTGGAGATGCAGGAAGGGAGGGCGGAGGGGCCTTCCTGACATCTCTCACCCAAACACTAAAGGACCGAACACCTAACTCACCCAAGGTCACCAAAGCTAAGTGCACACTTCAGAACGTGAACCAACAGCCTTGACTCTGAAACCAGTGCTTTGTCCACTGAATCCCACTGCTTTTCCTCTTTGGAGAGCAGGTTCAGGGGGGGATCTTTTCCAAAGGCTCCAGGTGCATCTGGGTGGGCTCGTTGCCCTGCATGTGAGGAACAGTGGGCTCAGGTGCCGGCACCGCCACCCACCAGCCAGGAGACCTGGTCAGGAGACCACCGCGCAGCTCAGCTCAAAGGTGAGCCGCTGTTGTGGGGAGTTGCTCCTCCCACCAGCCTGTGGGTGATCTGGTCCAGTATTTCCTGTCCCTTCTACAGAAGAGGAGCTCCGGGAAGTCGCGTGGTTTACCTACAGCTTATCAGCATCGTTCCCGTGACCCCCAAGCTGCCGTGTTACAATTCTCCTGCCACCACTGGGATGCACTAGGGTCCTCTGGTCCCTCATTCTGCAGCAGCACCTCACCCAGGCCTCTGCTCTCAGAGGTCTGGGTCCCTTCCAATCACTAGCTGCCTGTAAACAGAGGGCACCTGAGCTCAACTCCCAGCTCAGCTTCCATCCACTGATGGTTGTGGGCAGGTCAATTCCCCACTGGGGCCTCAGTTTCCTTGTGTGCAGAGTGAAGGGCTGGGTAGGGGACCTGGGAGGGAGGGCCTGGCTGGCTCTACCCATAGGCAATCCCCTGCCTCTGGGCTCAGCTCTGAAGGAGGGTCCTGGAAAGTCCGTAAGTTGTCTGGGAGAGTCCGGTATGAGACAGGATCCAAACACGATCACTGAATCCCTGCAAGAGCCTCCAGGTTCAGATCTCCTGGGGATACAATCAGCTACTTCCTGGGAGAAGGTTCTGTGAACGAGTCCATGCTGCTGTCAAGGCAGTTACCACAACATACAATTCGGTCCCTGAGGACCAGGCCGTCACCCCAAGAAAGCTGCTCCAGACCCCCAGTCTGGACATCGAGGATGGCATGGCTCAAACCCTGGGAGCGTTTGTATCACTTTGGCTCAGAGCCCGAGAACAGTGACGCTACTTCCTGCAACCAGGTCTGGGTTGCGTGTCCACAGGAGCCTCAGGTAGCAAGATGGAACAAAGCTGAAGCCCCTTTACTGCTGACGAAGAGTGTGGATTTAGGGAGGGTGCACATGAGGAAATGAGGGGCTGTGGAAGACCGTGTCCCCTACTTGGTGTCTCGAGTGACCTTGAGGAGGAGGGCTCTGAAGCCTGGTGATGAGGAGGGTGGAGGGTTGGGGTGTCCAATGACCAGGACTTCCGCTGGGCAGAGGAAGATCCAGAGCTCCGAACCCCGTGCGTTGTGCTGGGGAGGACAGCCAAAGCCAGCCCGAAGGAGGTGCCCGTCTCAGTGGCAGGCAGTGGCAGAAGGACGAGGGTGCCCTGCTGGACGACGTCATGCACCTTTCTGACGCAGTCAGCCCCAGTGCGGATGCTTTGGCCCTGAGCACATAGCCACCGGCGTACACCTGAGTGTGCAAACCTGTTCTGCAGAACAGGCTTCTTTCAAGCCCCAGTGATCCCACGGTTTGAGTTAGTGATCGTGGGCCTGTCCACTCAGGGAAATCCCGAGTCTGCCTTTAAAGCATAGTTAGTCCTGGCTGAGTAGCTCATTTGTTAGAGCCTCAGCCTGAGGCACCGCGGTTGCCAGTTTGATCCCCAGCCGGGATACACACCAGGACCAACTGATGAGTGCGGTGATGTGGTAGAACAAAGCGATGCTTCCCTCCCTTTCTCTGTCTCTCTTTCTCCCTTTCTTCCTCTGTTCCTGGAATCCATCAATTTAAAAAAATATTAAACCGGGGACTTCTGGCCAAGATGGAGGTGTAGGTGGAAACATTGTGCCTCCTCACACAACCAACTTTGAAGACAACAAAGTTTTAGTAACAAAAACACAACCAAAAACACAGAAAATTGAACTGTACGGAACTCTGAGGACAACGAACTATTCAGCCAGACCCGTAAGAGGGGTGGAGCCAGCAGCTGGTGGAGTGGGGTTGTTACCGAAAGAGGTCCAAGGGAGGGGGCAATATTTGGCCCACCTAGGGATGCCAAAAACTGCTACACAACAGGGGCCTCTCCCAAGGACAAAATACTAATATTTACTGGGCTCTTCTGTCCGCCGCCAATTGGAAAGACATCTCTCAATGCCAGAGATTTGTGAGAAGGAGACAAAATGTTTATTTAATGCTATTTAGGCTTAATGCCTCCACTAAAATATCAAAGTCCTTTAGGGTATACACCTACACCCACACAGCTCCCTTCTCCCACTGTCCCAACTCCGGGTACCGTAAATCAGGAAAAGAGCACACGTCTGTGTTGCAGGCCGCTGTGTCAGGCAGGATCTCTAGTTAATCCAAAGTACTGTGGTACCCTCTCATGGTCCACTGGCAAGAGTTCTTTGTACCCAGTTCCAGTCAAAGTCTCTCCTGCTTTCCAGGCCACGCGGCCAAAGGTGCATCCCAAAGCCGCGCGGGCCTCTTCTACCAAAGCTGCAGGGGTTCGCACTCCACCAAAAGCATGTGTCTTTCTTCTTCACCTGGCTGCAGGGATCTCCATTCTGGCAAAGCTGCGTGGTTTTCCCCTTCACCTGGGCAGTTACTGCCTCATGTCCTGGAGCCCCTTTTTCCAAGCTCCCACACAGGTACCCTCACTCAGGAGTGCAGCCCTAGTTACCATCCTGGGTAGCAGCCACTCCCTTCTCCCTGGCTCAAAACTTGGCCACAACTATTTAACATAACTATGAAACCAGTTAAAGGTTATAGATATGTTAAATATCATTCTAGAGGTTAGCTGCAAAACTGTTGCTATGCAAAACAGCTCTCAATGGCCCTGCTCCATTCGTCCCTTCCCCCCTGGGGGGTGGTGAGGACATCGTAATATGTCTCTCCAATATTCCTATACACTTTGAATTCTGGACACCATTCCAAATCTTTTTTGCCCCCCGCCCCCACCCCTTGGCGGCACCCTATATCAGGGTTGCACTGGAAAAATCGTCCAGACTGACCCAGGTGCACAGGCAGCAGTTGGTAGATCCCAGGTGTAGGGTTGCCACGGGCAGACCAAGTGAGGGCACGAGGCGTCAGGCTGACCGCGGTCACACAATCGCACGCAGATAAACCAGGCGAAGGAACAAGCAGTGAGACAGACCGCGCAGGCCCCAGCAGTGGGAAGCAGCACAGGGGACCGCTATTGCTCCCTCTCTGACCCCACCCCCACATACAGCGTCACAACCCAGCAATCTTGGGTGCCTTGCCCTGGTGAAGACCTAAGGCCCCACCCTTCATACCTAAACATTATTGGTTCAAGAAGAACTCAAAGCCCCAGAGCCAATAATTCTAAGCGACCAAGACATAGCCAACCTATGAGATGCACAGTTCAAAACACCGGTGGTCAGGATGCTCACAGAACTGGTTGATTTTAGTCACAAATTAGAGGAACAAATGAAGGCTAAACTAAATGAAATGAATGGAAATGCACAGGAAACCAATAGTGATGGAAAGGAAACTGGGACTCAAATCAAAAGAGTGGACCAGAAGGAAGGAAAAAATGACCAAACAGAAAAGAATGAAGAAACAAAAATTCAAAAAAATGAGGACAGGCTTAGGAACCTCCAGGACATCTTTAAATGTTCCAACATCCAAATTATAGGGGTATCAGAAGGGGAAGAGGAACAGCAACAAGTGGAAAACTTATGAACAAATAATAAAAAAAAACTTCCCCAATCTGGCTAAGGAAATAGACTTTCAGCAAGTCCAAGAAGCTCAGAGAGTCCCAAAGAAGTTGGACCCCAGAAGAAACACACCAAGGCACATCATCATTACATTAGCCAAGATAAAATGAAGGAGAGAATCCTAGAAGCAGCAAGAGATAAGGAGACAGTCACCTACAAAGGAGTCCCCATCAGACTGTCAGCTGATTTCTCAAAAAAGACCTTACTGGCAAGAAGGGTCTGGAAAGAAGTATTCCAATTCATGAAAGACAAGGATCTACATCCAAGATTGCTCTATCCAGCAAAGCTTTCATTTAGAGTGGAAGGGCAGATAAAGTGCTTCTCAGATAAGGCCAAGTTCAAGAAGTTCATCATCACCACGCCCTTATTATATGAAATGTTAAAGAGACTTATCTAATATTAAACCTATTTAGTATTCGGTTATTCTTAGTAGCATAAGGAAAGCGAAAGTAGAATTCTTAGCCTCCATATAAAACCGGCCGGCCAGCAGCACACACACCACACAGCGCCATGGCCTCCTCGGTAAGCTGCTCCTTTCTGTCAGCTGCTCTGGGCAGCAGGCAGCTCCCCCCCATGAGGGCCCCGCCTTTGCTCCCAGCCCGTGAACTCCAGAGCTTGTCTCTGGAAGCTTTTAGATGAAACTATGCTCTTTCAAAGTCTCTTTTTTGGCAGGACTGTGAGGTCTTCAGGCAAATGAGCATTGTCTCTTCATCTGGCACCATGGGGGACCTGTGGCCTCCAACTGGGGGGTTATGTGGGTGTCTGGGCTGATGGGGGGACCTGGGAGGTGAGCGAATCCCCGGCCTGTCTGCCTCAGCTGCTGCTGCAGGTCCCTGCCCTCTCAGCCCCAGCCTGCGCTCTCCCCTCTTTGCTCCAACACAACTTGCCTGCCTGACACCGAGCACTCGGATGTTGTGTGCTGAGTGCAGAGCTCCCCTCCCACCTCCCCGGGGTCCAGACTCACGCACTCCCCTGAAGGGGCAGGCCGAGCTCCCTGTGTGTTTAGGAGAGAAAGAGGCGCTGGACTGGGGCTATTCCCGCAAATGGGGGGATTCTGGGAAGGGGCACCGCACACCACAGAGCCCTTCTGTCTGCATCCTGCTCTGGGGGAGGGGCTGAATTGGGGGAAAAACAAAACTGGGCGATTCCCTGGGTACCTCTTTTCTTACCCAGACAAGGCCCAAGCTCACCTTTATCTGTCCCTTGCTACTCTGGACAGTGCCCCGGCCTTGCCTTAGGTACACATTAGATTCAGAGTAAAAATCCCCTCCTGCTGCCCAGATGGAGCTGGCGTTGGGCCCGCCCTGCCCTGGCTCACAGGGAGGAGGACCTGGCAAATCCTGGCCCCTCTGACCACCCAGCTTTCCTCCTCCTCACACACTTCCTTCCCTCCTTCTGCAAACCAGGCCCCCGTGGGGGATCCCGGAGATGCAGGGAGAGAGGGAGGGTGGAGCACACAGGGACCACCCTGACTGGAGCTCAAAGCCCAGAGGGGTGTGACGGGCAGAGGGACCTGAGTGCCACATGGTCCTTGTGAGGACAGGTGCAGGTCCCGGGGGCCTGGGGACCCAGACAGTGTCAGCTGAGCCAGGCTATGGCCTTCAGGGCAGCTTCTCAGAGGAGGGACGTCTGTCCCGTGGGGGGAGAGGAGGCATGGGGTGGGGCCGGTGGGGAGGAGGACAGAGAAGCAGATGCCCAGGCAGAGGGGTGGAGGCGTGTGTGAGCCGCCTGGTGGGAAGGCAGGTCCAGCAGTGGCTTGGAGGCCAGAGCACAGGGGGGCCCAGGGGGTTCAGGAAGAGTCGGCATGAGGGGCCTGAGAGCTGCCCATGGGGCAGCTGAGCCCTGAGGCCAGAGGAAGGTCATGTCCAGGTGGGCCCTGTGGGAAGGCCACAGTGGGTCTTGGGGAGACTGGGGGTGGAGGGGTAGGGACAGGAGGCGGGGGGCTGCTCAGGAGAACCTGAGGGTCACATAATAGGGAACTGGGAGGCCTGAACCGAGTCATTTGTGAGGAGATGAACAAGGACGAGAATTCAGGAGAACCTTCCAGGGTCAGCACCAGTTGTTGGGTACTGGCATGGAACGAGGGCAAAGGGAAGCTGACCCTGGCCTCACAGCGGGCGTCCTGGGGTGAGGCCTGAGGAGGGGTTGCTGTTTGCTGAGGTCAGGCAGAGGAGAGCAGAACTGAAGTTTTCTCCAGTGAGGAAACTGCCACTCCCTGGGCAGTCCACGGGGGCCCAGGAAGGGAGACGTCAAAGGGGAGGGAGGCAGGGACACAGGGGACTGGAAGATGCCTGGCAGAGAGGACCAGGTGCAGCTGCTCTCCCGCCAGGTGCTCTGTGCATTCCCTCCACCTCTCGGAGCCTCAGTCTCTGAACCAGTGCAAATGGGTGCTCCACACACTCTCAGCAGGTGACAAGCACCAGCAAGGGGTCCTCGGGCCAAGCAGGGTGGCCAGGCAGGGCCTTTGCTGGGGCCTGGAAATCTGTCTCAACCTTCCTGGCGTTTTCTCTTGCAGCTCAGTAGCGAATGCAGTCCTGGAGACCTGATTGAGATTTTCCGTCCTGGCTTCCAGCACTGGGCGCTCTATGTGGGAGATGGCTACGTGGTCCACCTGGCTCCTCCAGGTAGGGCTGTGAAAGTATAATTTTCAAAAGTTTCATTAACATAATGAGAATAACCCAAAGCCAAACGCCACCGTGGGAAACCCTGGTTGGTTTCTCCCTGAGCAATGGGTGGAGTCACTATACAATCAAGTCCCTCTGAGTCACCCCAGTGGGTCCCACAGGGCCTGACTCGGCAGGGAAGGACGTTCCGGCCGCCCCAGTGCCGTTGGCTGCTTCAGCGCCAGGGTGTCTCCAGCTTGGTGCCCAGTTACCTGGATGGGGGGGGGGGCCGATGCCACTTAGACCAGCAAAGGCTCTGAGTGTCTGTGGTCGCATAAAGGAGAAGGTTCCTCAGTGCTCTGTCCTGGGCACTCACGTGATTTCACAGAAACGGTGTCCTCAGTGCGGACTTCATTGTCCTCAACAGAAGCAGCTCTCACGCTGACGCCTCACTAAGACAGTTCTCTTACAGACACCCGTGGGTGCCCCTGAGCGCTTCCTTTAACTCCTGCAGATCAGGGGCAGCAGGTCAGAGGGGAGTGGGGGACGCGGGGGTGCGTGTCGTCCACGGCAGAGAAATGCTGCAGTGAGACTGCTGACTGAGCGCCAGGGCTCCATGTCCCGAAGAGCAATCTCACCCTAACCTTGGACACCGGGCACTGGCATTGTCACCAGACAGAGCCTGTTCTCAGAATAATCTCTTTGCACCTTGTCCATTTTCTGTAGCTCTCATCTACCCTGACAGAGTCGTAACAACGTCTGAGTTGATGGAACCTAGTGAATGCAACCCCCGATCAGGATGACACTTTGGGAGGCTTGGAGCAGAGAGCCCTGCTGCAGCCCCCGGGGGTCCGGGCTGGGTCTGCACGTGTGGGGGGATTTCCTAAGGGAGGGGCTCTCAGTGTGAACAGTTGGCCTTCAGAGGGAACCGTAAACGGAGTGCGCTCAGTCGCTGGGCGCACTGGTTCCCCCCAGAGCATGACACCCGGGCCCAATGGGGTGGAATTGGGGCCCGTCAGCTGGCGGCTCTGGTGTGAGCCTCTCCACTGGCCACTGCACTGTCAGGAAGGTCTGGGAATGTGTCTCGGGTCCAATATAGATTATACGAGGGTTGGTCCAAAACATCAGAATTCATGTGTAGAAAAGATGTATTTATTCTTACGTGTTTAAACTTCAGTCACCTTGAAAGGGTTCTCTTTTTGATGCAGCACAACCATGGGGACGTCCCTTCCACTGCTCAGACCTGTTTTGACTCGTTGATTTTGATGCCTTGTAGTGCGTCTGCCATTTTTTGTTTCACTTCTTCCACATCAGCAAAACACTTCACTTTTAGGACTTTTTTCACCCAGGGAAACAAAAAAAGTTGCTTGTGGCGAGATGGGGTGAATAGGAAGGGTGGGGGCAGGGCTTATGCCGTGTTGGTGGAACACGGTGGGCACTCCAACCGCTTGACCTCTTTGGGAAACACACAAGGGCACCGAGACAAACGAAGAACAAACGTGGTTTCTGATCATGTTCACTGTGGCTGAGCCGGGGCACAGCTAATATGCTCATTAACGGGAGGGGATTGGTCAGCTAGACGGGGACCATTCACGTAACAGAACACAAGGCAGCCACTGGCCACCCCAACATGAACACCATGAAAAATATCACAGCTTGTTAAGCCAAAAGAGCAAAACCCAGGAATCCCCCAGTCATGTCTGCGAAGGGACAGACACCACCAGCTCAGCAGTGGGTCCCCTCTGCCCTTCTTTCTGGTCCTACCCTCCCTGTCCCCACCCAGTAGTCCCCCACCCCCTGCAGCGCCTGATCCTAGGGTCTCTGATTCCAGGTGGGTACCCGGGTGCGGGCATCTCCAGCCTGGGCTCCGTTCTTGGCAAGACAGCGGAGGTGAAAAGGGAGCTGCTGACCGACGTGGTGGGGAACTGCAAATACCGGGTCAACAACTTGTTGGAGGAGGAGATGAAACCTCTGCCCGTGAGGGAGATTCTCAGTTCTGCCGAGAGCATGATTGGCAAGAAGATGGAATACGGTATTACCAGCAAAAATTGTGAGCACTTTGTCACACAACTGAGATATGGCGAGCCCAGATGCCTGCAGGTAAGACCCTCCCGGGGGTGGTCCCTTTCCCTCCTGGTTGTGTGCTTCAGGTGGGGCGACCAGGCTGCGCACCCAGAGGGAACAGTTGCCCTGAATGATGCAAAAGCAGGCTCTGGGTGGTCCCCTCGGGCAGGGAGGCAGGACATCTGAGAGCCATTCTCGGATCTGTGTCTTATCCTCTCAAGGTCTTTGGACAGGTCACCTCCTCTCTGGGCCTCAGTTTCCCCATGTGCAGGGGAAGAGGTGGTTGGAGGACCTCTGGGGCTCTGGCCAACTCTGTCCCTACAGGGACCCTCACCTGTAAGACAGCCCTAAAGGCAGCCCCCAGGGCCCCTGTGTGTGGCCAGGGAATATCTGGGCCCCCCAGCACCATGGCAGGCCAGCTGTCCTCAGGCCCCAGAGAACATGGGGCAGGAGGTGCCTGGCCAGTGGGCCCAGGTGCCAGCTCAAGGACACGATTATGTCAGATCTGGGTACAGCTTTAACCCCTCCCCCTCTTCCCAGACTGTTGTCCCCAAACACACAGCTAGTGAGGGGCAGGAGCAGGATTCAACCCCCAGTTGCCCTGCTCTTCACTGCTGAACCACAGGGCCCCAGGCTGGGGCCTTCCATGGCTGGGTGGGTGGGGCCTGGGTGAGAGAGGGGGCTGGAGGGGCAAGTGTGCAGGGAGCTCAGGGTTTCATGCCTAGGTGGGGTGTGTGTGGCCAGTCAGACCTCCAGGTGGACATGTTGAGCAGCAGATGGACACATGGGTCTGGAGTTCAAGGCTGAGGGGGGCTAGTGATAGAAGTTCCCAGCATGTACTTGTGAAGAGTCCACAGTGTGGCCATGGTTTCCCAGGGTCTCCCTTCAGCTTCTGCCACAAGCATCCCCGTGCAGGGCCGGCCCCAGGGAGAGCCCAGACCACACAGCCATTCCCACCTTGACCCCCAGAGCCCTGGCCCCAGGACCCCAGGCACAAAGCCCCCTCCCCACCCACCCAGGTCGGGAACACAGGGCCTCCCCCAGGGAGTGCACACAAGGGACTCCATCAGCCCTTCCTGCCAGTTGTGGGGACAAACCCAGACAAGCCCACCACTGAGAAGTGGTCACCACTCCCGTTTCCCAGGCAATGGGGCCAGCATCCCCGGGGGAGAGGACCCTGGGTTCACCTTGGGCAGGAGGGAGGACCTGCCTGGACGGGCTGTGGGCTCTGACCCGGGCTGCTCACTTTCAGGTTGAAAAGGCCGTGATGGGAGCAGGGCTGGCTGGAGCCTTAGGTGCAATTGCTACTCTTGCATATTCTGTAATGAAGAACTGATCCCCAAACCAGTGACAGCCTGAAGAAGCCACAGAATCCTGCCTTTGACTCCGCTGTGCAGCCGACCGGCCCCACCTCCGCTTTTTCCCTGACCCTGGCTCTCGGGCAGTGCCCAGTTCTGTCCCTCACTTTCCCTCTCACTGACTGAAGGATGGAAGAATTGTTCCAAGACCCAGAATGAATAAATGTATCTGTCTTTCCCTTCACAAAGGAATTCCACTGTGTGTTGTGTAGATTTCTAAACCAGACAGGAAGCAGTGCAGTGCCTGTTGGGGACACCAGCAAGTTCTGGCCATGTGGCCCTGGGTGACGTTCCTCAGTCCTAGGTCTCAGGTCCTCCTCTCCGGGATGGGCCGGGGTCCGAGTCGCAGCGACAGCCTGAGGGTCGGGTGAGACAGTGGGTGGGAGACCCTGCCCCTGTCTGGTCTGAGGCAGGAGCTCAGAGGACCGTCCACATGGTTCTGTGCATACTGACCTTTGGTCGCATTGGACATCAGTCCTTTTTCTTTCAGGGGGCAAACACTGACCAAGAGATTCTCCTCCTCCCGCCACCTGGAGTCCCTTACTCCAGTACTGGAGGCCTGTCACAAGGCATGACCCTCCCCCCAGTGACCTCCTCAGGGACCCCCCTGGGAGAAAGTCCTGCTTTCCTCTTTGAACTCAGTGGCCTGCTCCTCATCACGTGTGACTAGCAGAGGGAATTCGCTCATCTCTGGGCGCCCCCCTTGCTGATGCTCTAGCTGCCCCCCGGGTGAAATCTGAAGAGCCCCCACCCCACGCTGGAAGCATCTGCGCTGGTCCTGTGGCTCCCTGCCTGCCCCTCTTCCACACCCCATCACGGTTTCTCAGCGCCCCCATCCAGGCAATGGAAGCTTCCTGATTTGTGAAGGTTTCACTCTTTCTCCTTTTTTACGTGCCTGATCTCAACAAATGACAAAGCCCTGCAGCCCCCACCCCAGGCCACTGGACCTGAGGTCAGGGGTCAGCTTCTCTTTGCCCTCCTTCAATGCCAATACCTAACAACTAGTGTTGACCTTGGAAGTTTCTCCTGAATTCACTTCCTGGTCTATGTCCCGCTGTCATTTGGTTCAGAGAAGCTCAGTTCTCGCCTTCCTGAATTCTATGGTCCTGAGCAGCCCCCTGCCTCCTGTCCCCCCTCCCCCCCCACCTCCAGTCTCCCCAGGACCCACTGTGGGCTTCCCACAGGGCCCATTTGGCCATGACCTTACTGAGGCTCAAGGCTCAGGCTGAGACTTCGCCAACTTGCAGGCCCCTCCTGCTGACCCTCCCTGACCCCCGGCCACTGCAGGACTTGCCTTCCCCACACACAGCCCGCAGGCCCCTCCTTCTCTGCTCCCACATTTGCTCTTCTCTGCCCCCACCACCTGCCACCCCCACGCCTCCTCTCCCCCCACCGGACAGACGTTTCTTCTCTGACAGCAGCGCTGAGGGCCACAGCCTATCTCCGCTGACACTGTCTGGGCCCATAGGTCCCCAGAGACCTGCACCTGTCCCCACAAGGATCACGTGACACTGCAGGTCCCTGTGCCTGTCACATCCTTCTGGGCTTTGAAGTCCAGTCAGGGAGGTCCCTGTGTGTTCAACCCTCCCTCCCTGCATGTCCAGGATCCCCTAGGGGCCTGGTTTGCAGGAGGAGGGAAGAAAGTGTGTGAGGAAGACAAAAGCTGGACGGTCATCGGGGCCAGGATTTCTCAGCTCTTCCTGTCTGTGAGCCAGGGCAGGGCCGGCCGGGCACTGGCTCTATCTGGGGAAAACTAGGGGATTTTTGACTCTGAAACTGAATGTCTAAGTAAGACCAGGCCTGAATACTGACCACAGTAGCAGGGGACAGATGAAGGTGAGCTTGGGCCCTGCCTAGATAAGAAAAGGGTTACCAGGGAACAGCGCACATTATTTTTGGCTGCAGTGAAGGCTTCCTCAGAGGCAGGGATGGACCTGAGTGTGCTGTGGGCCTTCCCAGAATCACCCCATTTCCAGGAATAGCCCGAGTCCGGCTTCTCCTTTCCTGCTGCACACGCAGAGGTCTGCCTCCCTCTCCTGGGGACGTGTGTGAGTCCTGACCCGGGGGCTGCTGGGAGGGCAGCTCTCCAGTCAGCGTGACAAATTCCAGTGTGTGTTATCAAGCAGGACAGATGTCTTCTTGGAGGAAAGAGGAGAGAGAACAGACCAGGGCTGAGAAGGCACAAAACTGCAGTAGCAGCTGAGGCAGACAGGCCGCGGGTTCCCTCACCTCCCAGGTCCCGGGTCCCCCCAAGCCCATCAGCCCACCCTCAGCTTCTTCAGCTCAGGCAGGCACAGCCCAGACACCCACATGGCCCCCCACCTGGGGGCCCCAGGTCCCCCCACGGCGCCAGATGAAGAGACAAGGCTCATTTGCCTGAAGATCTCACAGTCCTGCCAAAAAAGAGACTTTGAAACAGCTCAGTTTTCTCTAAAAGCCCCCAAAGATGCGCTCTGGAGTTCACGGGACTGGGAGCACAGGGGGCCTCACTGGACGGGAGCTGCCCACCGTGCAGAGCGGCTGACAGGTGCCGGGACTGACAGAGGCCATGGTGGTGTGTGGGGTTCTCTTCCTGTTGGGACAGGTTTTATCCCAAGTTGAAAATTTCATTCTCAGATTTCTCCTGACTTTGCTCAAAAAGACCACTATTTGAAAAAAGGACACTGTTCTAAATGGAAATGCTAATATTACCAGCATCAGAACATGGAAGCGCTGGTGCTTGAAATCCACCTTGAAAGCAGCCAGAGTCGCCGGGGAGCCCGCACTTCTGCCAGAGAAACCCAAGACCCTTCCAGCTAGAATCCTGGGCCACAGTTTCTGTCTCAAAAGAAAAGGTGTCTCCAGGCACAGAGCGGTCAACCCCAATCCACCCCGATTGACATTGTCTTATACACACCTTCGGAAACACGGGACACACAGTGTGGTGCACACCAGGGGCGCTCCTGCCCCTTTCTGGACAAGACCTCCAGAAGTGGGTGCCTTGCCTCGCGGGGCCCGGGGGCTCATGGAAGCACGGCGCTGTGAGAAGAAGAACTCAGCTAAAGGGGGCTCAGCAGCCTGGATGTTCCCTGTCCCTGGAACAGGGGGACGGAGGCAGGTGACAGGGTCAGTTCAGCAGCCCAGCAAGGCCACCGAAGACCCGGCTTCTCCACCTCGTTGTTCCTGTGTCTGCTGTGGTGGTCACTCTGGTCACAGCAGCCACAAGGGACACATTTTCAACTGGAAATGTTCAAAAGCACTAAACAAAGATGTTTTTCATCATTTGCCTCTTTTTTTGAAATGAGAAAAGCCTTTCCCCTCATCCTCTGCTCTCTGGCTCCCCTTCTTCCCCCTCATGAACTGGGTCCCATTTCCATTGCAAACCACTGACGGGCAAAGGGGACGGGGCTTCCCTGGCAGACTCAGACCACTCACGGTGCGGCAGCTGGATCTGTGGAGGGGCTCGTGCTGCCCAATGAAGAGCAGGACTTCGTGGCCTGGGTGCAGGTGAGTGAAGGGGGTGCGCAGCTGTTGCCTTGGAGCTGGGCCTGGCTGGGGGAGACGGCTACCGGCTAAGCAACCAGCCAGTGGGATGCCCTCAGCTACTTCCACCTGCGGTGCATCCACACGGCCTCAATGGGCGGCTTGACAGGCTGGAGCCGCTCTCAGCCGACGTGAAGCCCTGGCCCCCGCTCCCTGGAGCAGACGGAGCCCCAGGAGCAGGGGTGCGGCACCCACAGGCTCCTCTGGCCAGTCACTGGTGACCTTTCTCATTCCTCCTTCCTCTTCTGTCAGTGTTTACTTCATGTGCTTCGTGTCTGAATAATAGGTCTGATCACCCCACATGTTAACACTCACGTGTAATACTACCTGCATGTTCTGATGTGCCCTTTATAAGGGGACTCGGCCCTTCGTTCTTAGTTGTCTGAGTTTCCATCACAAATGCCTGTTTGAATTTTTCCAATTGCATTTTTTGGTCAATCAAAACGGTCATGTATTTTTTCTTTATTATGTCGTTAATGCGGTGAATCACCCTGATTAATTTTAAATGTTACACCCACCTGGTATTCCTGAGATCCACCATTCCTGGGTGATGACCCAAGTAACACTCTTTGTAAGGGGCAAATCTTGCACCCTGCTCTTTCCTTCTGCCCCTTTTTTTTCCATTTTGAACCTGGGAAGTGGCCACTCACTGATTGTCACAAAGAAGAAAAGGCAGCTCCATGGAAATGGAGGAGTCACTGTGACTCGCACACAGAATAGCCAGTGCCAAGCCTGGGGCCAGGGCCAGAGGCGCCCATGGACAGCAGACAACTACGTCTGGGGCTGTGTGTGCTGGAGGAGGCCTGTGGCCAGGGCGTACCATTGGGAGGAGCAGGGCTGGTCCAGAGTGTCCTGGACACGAGATCTTTCTCGTGTTGGGCCACCTCCGCAGGTCTGCTGATTTTCCCCCAGGCCCTAGTTAGCCAATCACCTCCGTGGCCTGTAAGGAATCAATATTTTGGCTTGGAACTGGTCCAGCCTCATTGCAGCCCTGCTGATGAACATGAGTGTCCACCCCAAATGAACATGTTAAAGCTCTAACCCCCAACGTGATGGCATGTGGGGTCGGGGCCTGTGGTAGGTAATGAGTGTTGGGTGAGACCATGAGAGCGGGCCCTGCTTTGATGGGTCCTGTGCCCTCGTGTGAGAGGACACCAGAGACCATGCGCCTGCTCCTCGTGTGTCACTGAGAGAAGTCCATGCGGGACCTCGTGAGACCGTGGCTGTCTGCACGTACACACAGACTCTGACCTTGCCAACACCTTGAACTCAGACTTCCGGCCTTTGGAACTGTGAGAAAACATATTTCCATTGTTTAACCCACCTGGTCTGTGGATTTATTGCAAGCAATCAGACTAGTCCAATCCTCATGAAGAACCAGATTCTGTCACGGTGGATGAGGAGACAGATGGTACTTAGTGGTCGCCTGACCAGCCAGTCTCCCACCACCGCCTGCTCCCAGTCGGCCAAGTCCCGGATGTTATTCGGCACAAAGAGCGTCTCCTGCAGATCCAGGGGGTGTGCAGGGCGGCCTCGTTCTTTGCCGCCAGTGCTGCTGGAGGCTGCTGCAGGCCTCGGACCATGCAGAGCATCGGGGAAGACTGGGGAACAGCGAGAGAGAAGATGGAAGGGCCTGGGTCATTGGTGGCCTTGGTGCGCTGCTGAGCTGA